GGTTACTATAGCTTTGTAGCATATTTTGAAATCAGGGAGTGTGATACCTCCAGCTTTGTTCTTTTTTCTCAGGATTCCTTTAGCTATTCGGGGTCTTTGGTTGTTCCATATAAATTTTAGGATTCTTTGTTCTATTTCTGTGAAAAATGTTGTTGGAACTTGGATAGGGATCGCATTGAATCTATAGATGGCTTTAGGAAGTATGGACATCTTAACTATGTTAATTCTGCCAATCCAAGAGCACAGAATATCTTTCCATTTCTTTGTGTCTTCTTCAACTATTACATTTTGAAAGCACTTTTGCCTTTCGAATTTTACCTTGCTTTTTTGGGAAGGAAATGCATATAAAACTAATCGAGTTTTTCTAATCTGAGGAAGGCCTAAAGCACAGGACAGAGTAAGGAATCGCTAAGGCATTCATGAGCACGTCTTTTGGTATATAGTCTCTTTGACCACATTACATACAATTATGCAGGATGATCTATAGATTAGCTAAGTCATGTTTTTTTTTAACCTGAGGACCCTGGTGATGATATTGGATTTACAAGTTTGGTTCCATACACCAAAAACCTAAGCGTGATTATATAGTATTTATCGTAAATATGGAACCAGCAATTACTGGTTGTGTGGTCTTACACAAGTAACTTAACTTTCTCTTTAATTTTCCTCATTTGGAAAAGGGTGTAACGTACCTTTCTGTAAGGATTAGAAATAAGGCATGTAAAGTGTCCATCAAAATTCCTGGCACACTATAGCTGCTCAGTGGACACAGTAGGCGCTTGAGAATGATAGAGATGCTTGGGCTCTGGAGCCAGGCTGCCTGGGTTTGAATCTTGGCTCTACTTTTTTCTTAGCTGTGTGACCTTGGGCAAGTAACTTTGCCCCCCGAGTCTCAGTTTCCTTATCATTAAAATGAGGGTGATAACAGTACCTACATCATAGGATTATTGGGCAGAAAAAATGAGTTAATACATGTAAAGTGCTTTGGAACATTTATTAATATATAGGGTTTAATAAAAGTTAGTTATTATTTTAATTGCTATTCTTTTCGGCTTTTAGAGACACTTGCATCTTTTTGAAGTTGTGTCTTAAAATCAGGGAGAGACATCTTCCCCTATGTATAAAACACATCCATTCAGCACTGTCACACCAGTTGTTTTCAGCAGATTTCCATCCTTGTGGCTCTGTAATCGCCTTTCCTTTGATAAGTCCTCAGAGCCCTCAGTAGGAATAACTTTGTTTATAAGTTTGGCTGCTTTGCTATAAGATAGCAATTCTTAGTTCTTGACTTCCCTCTCTAAGTATTTATGAATTCCCTAAAGAACATGGGGAGAAAGAATTATTTGGAGCAAATTAGGAAAGCATTGTGAAATTCGCACTCCCCTTGGTAACCCCATTGTCACTTACTCTCCAAAATAGTTGTAGGATGCTGTGGTTTTGTGCGATGAAGCTCTGGTACTTAATTTCAGTCTGATTCAGTCTTTTCTTCAGCGGTGATTTAGCTAATGCTCATCCCCCTTAATATATAGTGACAATGGGCTACACATACAGGCTATATTAAAGTGGTACAAAGAAGGAGTATGAAGAAGAAGCTGGACAAAGATACAACTAACTCACTAATTATAACAAGAATCCATGGGACCGGCCCTGTGGCTTAGTGGTTAAGTGCGCGCACTCCGCTACTGGCGGCCCAGGTTCGGATCCTGGGCGTGCACCGACACACCGATTCTCCGGCCATGCTGAGGCCACGTCCCACATACAGCAACTAGAAGGATGTGCAACTATGACATACAACTCTCTACTGGGGCTTTGAGGAAAAAAAGGAGGAGGATTGGCAATAGATGTTAGCTCAGAGCCGGTCTGTCTCAGCAAAAAGAGGAGGATTAGCGTGGATGTTAGCTCAGGGGTGATCTTCCTCAAAAAAAAAAAAAAAAAAAAAAAAGAATCCAACTGTGATAACTGCTATTTTAAGGTACCATAGAGGGAAGGGGATTCTGACTAAGAGCTTAGGGAGAGGTTTAAAGAGGCAACATTGATAATGAACCTTGAAGAATGGCCGAGGGGTAAGGAAATACAATAGAAACAGAGAGAACAAGATGAACAAAGGCATAAAAATGGGAAATACCGGGCTTGTTCAGGGAACGGTCCTGTGTTGTTAGAGCTGAAGGTATGCAGGCAGAGGGTTAGGAGATGAGGAACAGAGGTCCCTGGGTCTCAGGGAGTCCACTCGCCTAACTCCTCTCAGGTTCTGGGGAGTAGAGGGTGGGGCTTCTCTGACAACTCTCTCAGGATCAGGTCTTGGGTGGACCCCTCATTTCTTCCTTCTCCTTCAGTCTTCTCAGCTCACACATCCTTTTTACCTCTGCACTTAAAAAACTCTATTCTCTTTTATTTTCCAACAGACTTTGCTCATCTGGCATTTATTAACCTGCCACCTATTATGAAATATGTGGAAGATGAAATGGCGTAAGACTTTGCACAAAACATTGGCCCCTCAGGGTAAAAATCTGAGCCTAACAAAATGGGAACAGGCCAGGTAGCCTGGCTAGATTCTAGGGGGTAGAAAAGAGATGATAATGAAGTCAGAAAACCATGCTTGGCACATAGATGGTGCTCGATCAATATTTGTTCAATAAGTGAATTAGGGGACAGCTTGACAGACCCTCAGGTATTGTAAGGTGTCTCTGGGGTCTGGCCATCTGCCTCTCTAAGAACACTTCCTATTTGGGAAACAGGAAGGAACAGGAGAAGAGATCTGTGTATTCTGGCTTTCCATGCATTTGTGACAAGGCCAGGTTTCTTCCGGAGTTAGGAGTTCTTTGTCTGGCAGTTTTCTCTTTCAGGGGAGAAAGGCGTGTGTGTGTGTGTGTGTGTGTGTGTGTGTGTGTGAGTGAGTGAGTGTATGCAGATGACACAAATACAGTGACCCAATGTTTATTTGCTTCCAGTCATGTCAAGACCTGAAGACCTCAAGTTACAAAATAATTCCTTTGCCAACAGGTAAATTCGGGGCAAAATGATGTCAAGAAAAAAGTTAAAAAGGTCAGAGAGAGCTCAGTTGTACTTGGTAAACGTATGCACTTGGCACTTAGGATACAAAGAAGACTTGGTTCTAATCTCAAAGAGCTTTGAATGTGGAGAGACAGAAAGCCATACAGAGTATTTAATGCAGGGGAGATAGTGCCATCACAGAGGTTAGCCCAGGGACTCAGAGGAGGGGCTTTTACTAGAGTCCATGGCCTTGCTACTCCAAGTATGGTTGGACCAGCAGCAGCATCTCCTGGAAACTCGTGAGAAATGCAGACTTTCTGGCTCCAGCCCAGACTGACTGAATGTGAGTCTGAGTTTTAATGAGATCCCTAGGTGAATCATATGCACATTAATATTTGAGGAGCACTGGCTTAGGGGGCGGGGATGGGATCTGGGAACATTTCTTAGAGGAAGTAAATCCTGAGTTGTGTTTTGAGGATGAGGAAGGTTAACCAGGTGGTGTTCCAAGCACAGGGAACAACATAAGCAAAAGCTCAGTGGCATGAAAAACACAGCGATGTTTTGGGAACTGCAAGTAGCTTAAATTGCTGATCAAGAGGGAGAGTACGGGAGAGAGGAGGAGGGAGAAATGTAGGAAGACGGTAGGTCAGGCAGCGGCCAGGTCCTGCTGGGTGTGTTCTATCTAGGTTAAGGAGCTTTGCCTTGACTGAATCCATGAGAGAGACGCATGATGACATGTTCAGATTTGCATTTAGATCACTGCAGCCCAGAGGAGCCTGAGAATGTCAAGGCCAAAGGGCAGAGAAATTAATTGGGCAGCTACAGCAATAGTTTGGGAGAGAGATAATGAGAGTCTAACTCAGGTAGTGACCATGGAGAGGAGAGGACAGGTTTAAGAAGTTTTAGGAGGTAATAAGCAGATGAAAGACTTCAGTCGGATCAGGGGTGGGAGAGTGAGGGAGGGCTGAGTCTGGACCGGATGAGTTGCAGGCTTCTGGCTGGGATTAGTGGGTGGTTGCTCATGACTCCACTAACAGAGATAAAAGAATAAAGGAAGATGAGCAGGTTTGAGGAGGAAAATTATGAGTTCAGTTTTCAACATGTTCAGCTCAAGCGAATAGAAAACATGTATGGGAGAAAAAAAGAAGAAAACAAGAAAAGGGTGGAGAACTCGGTGAATCAATCAGGGTGGAGAAGCAAAGTGATGAAAAAGAAACAATGCCCTGTCCAGCTTTGGGGCTACAGTAATGCACATAGTATATCTGTGAGCCTTTCCTCCAGTCCTATTTCTGGAGGCTGCAGTCTTGGAACTTGGTTCCAGCAACTGGTTGGAGCTGGAAGAAGAGCAGATAGTTTGATTCATGGTTTCCTATCCCATGATCAGCTCATTGTTGACACCATTTGCTCTTCGGAAAATTTTTTTTTTAACCTGGAGTTCAAGCTGCTCCAGGGGCAGAATGACCAAACAGTTGTCTTTTTCCATATTGCCCTGTGGGTAAATAATGGACTTTGCCCATTGTCCCTAACGCTATTTCCAAAGTGGCAATAATACAAGGTCAGTATGTGTGTGTGCTTGCGGGTGGTTATCCTTCAAGTTCTGGACCACTCCTCTCACAAATCTTCCCCGCCTGTGAACTTTTACGACACTTTTATTTTGCACCTTAAAATTCAGAACTTGATAATAGCCTGTCTTGGATCATTCCCATAATTGTTTCCTATGTAGCAATCTGTTCTCCTCTGATCACAGAGTTCTAAAAAACGTCCCGGACTTCTGTGTCTCCACAGCAGAAACTCTGAAAGTACTTTAATATTTTCTGATCAGTCATCATCAGCCAATAAAAAGCAAAAGGTCGGCACGTGGTTTATTAGTTTGGGCAGGAGGAAGGTATTCTGACTAGCTCCGTGCGCTCCTGCCAGGATCAAACATGGCGAGCCGCAGCCAGACCTTCCAGAACACCCAGCTCGCTTTCCCGCGACCCCAGCCAGGCTTTGACGCTCCTCTTTTTACTTTCCTTCCTCCTCGGCGGCTCCAAGAGGGTCAGCACCTGGGAGCGTGACAGCGGACCTGCTTCCCGCCCCCATTCGAGGGCCCGCCCACCAACCCGCGCCAGCCAATGGCAGGCCGCGCTGCGGCGGCTGGCAGCGCCGGCGGGCCCCGCCCCCCAACCTAGCTGTGGCCTGCGGCTCCCGGGCCGGTAGCGCCGCTCTTGGTCGCGCGGACCGGTCGTGTGGAACCGCGGGTCGCGGGAGCTCGCCGCCGGCCACAGCTCAGCCCAGCGCCGCAGAGGCCGTCGGCCCCGAGCCTCCGCCATGGACTTCGAGGACGGTAAGCGCCGCCTCTGGCTGGTCGCCACGGCGGGCGGGAGGCGGGGTGGCCTGCGCCGGGGGTCTGTTTACCGTCTCAAGATGGCCGTGTGGGCTTTGTTCTGTGGGCCCGGAGGCCGCCGCCCGCCGCGGGCCCGGTGCCCGGACTTGGCCTCTGTGGGGACCCGCGGGCCCCGAGCCCGTCCGCCGCCCGGCGCGCGTGCCGCCGGGGACCCGGGAGTTCGGGCCGGCCTCGGTGCGGGGAAGGACGCGCCCAGAGCGCGACGGCCTCCGGCCTCGGCCCGGGACTCGCCCGGCCCCGGTGCGTGGATATTGCCCCGACGCCTCCAACTTCCCGTCGCGGGCAAAGGGGCGAGCGGCCTCCCGCATGGGGCAGGGACCCGGGTCGTCCCTTTTGTCAGTCCTCAGCCCCAGGTGCCTTCTTGCCAGATGCAGTTTTTAGAGGCTTGTTCGCAGTGATGTTTCTGGTTGTCTTAGTTTAAGATGAGTTTAAAGGGCGTCTGTAAGTGATACGCGTATTTACTGATATCTACACAGAATGGAAAGTAAGATACTTCTGGGTAGCGAACTGGGATATTTATCCACCAAAATTACCTGGTCGTTAATCCCTAATTTGCAATACTTCTGCGAACCAAAGCATTTTTCTCTGGGTTGTGTCCGGATGGGACTTTAGTCAGAATTCTGGCACAGCATCACGTGCCCTTCAAATTCAGACCTGCACACAGCCGCCTGGGTTGGACTTACTGATTCAGTAAACTGTGTTTTAGCAGTACCTTTCAGTCGTCTCTCTCACCAGTTCTTTAAACCATTTTCACATCACAGGCTCGCAAAGTAAAATTAATTTCGTCTTTGCCTTGTCTTGGGTGTCAAAATAAAAGAGTATGTAATGACAGCATTAGGGATACATGAAAAGGGGCCTGAACGATCAAATTGGATTTGATCCTGAGTAACCAGGCGTTTCTAAATAAAACCAGTTCACTAACTAGTTGTAAGCCTCTAACCCAATCAAAACAATTGTCTTTAACGTTGAATGTGGTGTGATCTTAGCATGTGTCTTACTAAATGATCTTTTGGTCTTTGATTTGATTTCATGACACAAAGAGTTGCCAAATCTAAGTATATGAAAGGGGACTGCAATAACCCCTTTATGGATACTTTTAAGTTACTTTGAAATAGGAAGTTCAGCTATTAACAGTAGCACACTGGTGTTTTTGTTTGTTTTGGTTGGACTTTGACTCATTTTGATATAGATACTGTTAAACTATGAATACATATTTGAAGTGTCAGAGCTGGGAGTGAAATTTAAAAATATATTACTGTGTTTTCATGTCAAAGTTTGATGACAGTACCAACACCCAAGGTACAGCAGAAGCTACCAGGGGTGGCGGGGGGAGCCATGGGACTGGTCCCCTCCCGGCATAAGGGAATCCATTTTCTGTAGAGAATTGAAAAACAACCATAAAACTTAGTATGTTTGCTTTTTATTATCACCACGTGCCTACAGTTCTAAACAGTGTCTGTGATAAAATTCTAAACAATGTCAGTGATAAAAAACTCCCTCTCTCATGCCCTGTGTCACCCCCACCACTATATTTGGGGGATGGAATTTGACTAGCAATGTATCTGAATCTAATCCTGTGTCGTGTAGTTGGATTCTCTTGTATCCAAGTGACCACTATTAAATTCCTTTCTTTCAGTATTTATTAGTAAACTTAACTAAAAGATTTAACAATTACTAAATTAGTCTTGACAGGGAAATTGCCAATGTGGTTTTCGGTTAAACCACATCCTGGATAAATACAGCACACACACACATATGCATATATGCATATGCATTTCTCACATAAGATCTTGAAATCTTTAGAGAGCAAATTAAGTGAGAAAAGAAATATTAACTTTGAAAAATTTATATAGTACATAGAATCAATTCTCATGTTTCTGCTTTTTGCATTATTTGATTTGTAATTTAATCTATCTGCCTTCTCTTTTGTTACTCTGTATAAATTAGTACTGGATCCCCTCTTTTGGCTGTTACAATGTATCAGATGTTATAAGCTAAGTTTTACATTACCATAATTTGGATGATAAACCTGCCATTTGGGGAGATAGTGAAGGGAAAGAGCTATATGTTTTCCTGTATTAAATATTCATAATTATTTATACCCCATTTTTACAGATAATTGAGTTAATGACATTTTTAAAAATTGTGGTTGTTTTAAATAGATGGGTATATAATTTCAGATTTTTGCCAATATTGTACTAATTCCTTTCTGTTAAATGTGTCTTCATAGATTACACACACTCTGCTTGCAGGAATACTTATCAGGGCTTTAATGGTGAGTATCCTCTTTCATTTGCTCTTAAATATGTTAAGGGAAGGCATTTCAATTTTCCTCTCCATACGCATAAAGTACCAGTGTAAAAAGCCAGTTCTACCTTGTTTCAGTCATTGTTTTGTCTCTTGATGTATCGCTTCTCAGTGTTAATGTTGTCATACTATATATGGTATTTGAATTAGGGAATTTGGGATCAGAAAAAGAACTATTCAGATTAGTTGGACTCTTTGTTTTATTTGAGTTATGATTCCTTAATTTATTCCAAAAGGCCCTGACTACATTCTGAGTGTTGAGTTACAGGAAACTAGCTGAGTTATTTTTGTTGAATTAGAGGCTTTGGTATTGAGTAATGTAGATTAAGTGGATTATTGGCTTGGTTCTGTATGGCTTCTACTGTAATGCATTTTGACCTTGGTTTTGAGGTCATTTGCTTTAATGTGTCCAAATGTGTTAGTATATAAAATGTTGTCTAGAGGAGCACGTAAAGAAGCCTGATTATTGACATAAGCATGATATTAGAGTTGTTGTAACTACAGAGCTAGATAAAATCATGAGAGTTATACAGAATACAATTGGATGTCATTTTAGTAGTTATTAGAGTTAAGGCTCTGCCAAACAGGATGATAACACAAAAAAGAACATGGGACAATTCAAAGAGGTTAGAAAGCATCACATGAAGGACCCCAGGGAGTGGAATTAAATATGCTGAGTGCCAGAGAAATGCAAGATTCAGCTGTTGTACAGAATATAATGTATTTACACAATAAAACTGAAGCAAATGTGCTACTAAGTAAAGAAGACTATGCTATTTTATGGGACTAATTATCATCCACTTAATTTCTATTTATCATATCTAAGAATTTAGGGAAACTGTGGATTGGATGTGGGCTAAAAAGGCTCAACATATAGGAAGTAATCAATATATAGTGAGTGCTAAAGAATATATTTTTTGAGCAGGAGAATGACATAATAAAATTACCAAGGGAAGTTTAATTTGCATCCACATGTACATTAGATAGAAAACTGGAAAATTAGCTACAAAAGCTGTTTCATAAATTTAAGTGTAAGGATTTTTTAAGACTGTGAACTTGGGAAGTGTAATCATAATTTTAAAAGTTTTAAGGCTATTCTAGAGAAAATTAGCAGAAATTGCAGGCTGACTAGTAGTGAGTAGAAAATTGAGAGGGATGAATAAAAATGAATCGAGGATTTTAAGCTGGAGTGAGTAGGACTAGTGCTTTTTCCGAGGAGAGAGATTTGGAACGAAGGCCATGATCTCTAGTAGGATTTGCTGGAGAGTTGGGTTTAATGTCTAAATATAGGGCTTTGACATGCAGACATACAGGGCCAGAAGTTTATTTTCTTAATGTACAGTGTTGTAAAAAGAGCTTCAGAAATTTCTATCACTAATATTAGGACTTTTATTTTTTTCTCTTATTTTTAGTTCCAACAGTGGTTCTCATCTGAGGGTGATTGTTAGACTCCCCTGGGGGAGCTTTTTCAAAGTATATCTGTTCAGGTCATATTCTGGTTTTCTTGAATCTTAATTTTAGAGCAAGTGGTCCCTGGCTGTGTATGTTATGAAGAAGTACTCTCAATGATTTTGGAATGTACCTCTGGTTAAAGACCACTGCTTGACAACACTTTGAGGTGTGGGTTATCGACATTTTATAAATGTGGAACATAAGTTCAAGGATATAATTTGACTTCATTCCTTCAACAAATATTTGTTGAGTGACTACTGTGTATCATATTGTTCTAGGAGCTGGCAGTACAGCAGTGAACAAAATGGACAAATATTCCTGCCCTTGTGGAGTTTACAGTCTAGGAATGAAATAGACAGTAAACATGATAAAGAAGTAACATATTGTATGTTAGTTGTAATTGTCAGGGAGAAAAATAATGCAGGGAAGAAGGTGACATTGAGCATAGATTTAAAGGAGGTGAGGATGCAAGCCATGAGGCTGTCTAGACGAAAAATGCTGTAGGCTTTAGGAGATAAAAGATGTGTAATTACCAGATGAAGCCAGCAGTACAGTTCGTGGTTAGCACTGTATTTTCCAGCAACTGAAATAAAGTAGAAGGCATTGGAAAACATGTCAAGATACAAATTTCCTCCACACCATTTCTTGGAAGGATGTCGTATTTCCAGTGTCCCCGTGTTTCTTTCTTGCTCCATAGTACCTCTTATATAAACTGCAGACAAAAAAAGGAGAGCATTCCAGATAGAGGAAAAGCAGGAACAAAGGTAGAGCTAAGTGAATTGTGCTTCAGAGAGAGTTAACAAGACCGGCTTAACTAGAGCAGATGATTTTTGCTGAGCAGTCTTAAGGTTAGAGTGGTGAGGTGTAGCCAGAAGGCAATGAAAATCAAATTGCTTATATCTAAGAAGCATGAAGAAAAGAAAGAAAGTGAAGATATGAAAGAGTTGAGGGAGTGAGCATTGCAGATACAGGGGAAGAGCATTCAAGGCAGAGGGATCAGCAGGTGCAAAAATGGGTGTATGCCTATTTTCTAGGAACAGCAAGGGGCCTAGTATAGCTGGAGTGGAGTGAACTAGGGGGAATAGTAAATGATGACGTTAAGACCTCATGGGGTGGATCATATAGGGCAGGGTTTCTCAACTTAAGCACTATTGACATTTTGGACTAGATAATTCTTTGTTGTAGGGGATGCCCTGTGTATAGTAGAATGTTTAGCAACATCTTTGGCCTCTGTGCACTAGATGTGAGTAGCGCCCACACTTCCGCTGTGACAACCCAAAATGTTTTCAGATACTGCCAAAATTGTTCCTGGTTAAGGACCACTGGTGTAGGGCCTTAACAGGTTGTTTTAAGGCTTTGGTTTTTACTTGGAGTAAGAGGAGAAGCCATTGGAAGGTACTGAGCATTGAATATGATTTAACTTATATTTTAACAAATTATTCTGGCTATTTTCCTCAAAATTAAAGAGAAAGGGAGCAAAAGTGGAAGGAGGAAAACCAGTTAGAAAGCTGTTGTAATAAACTAGGTGAGAGATGCTCATGGCCTGCACCAGGATCCTAGTAGTGTGGAGGTGGTGAAAAGTGGTCCCATTCAAGACTTAGTGTCGCGTAACTTATTACACTCATGCACAACTGAAGGACATTTTGGTCAACAACAGACCGCATATACAACGGTGGTTCCATAAGATTAGTACCATATAGCCTAGGTGTGTAGTAGGCTATACCATCTAGGTTTGTGTTAAGTACACTGTATGATGTTTATGCAATGGTGAAATCACCTGATGACGCATTTCTCAGAACATATCGTTGTTAAGCAATGCATGACTGTAGTTATTTTGATCATATGTCAGTTGTTTTTTCCTTCTACTCCATAGCCCCTTTCTTGTGATTTAATTGTGAGTTTTAACATTTGTTGAGCTTATCATTTATATGATAGAATGATCAAAGTGAGAGAATAGATTTGATTTAAAATATTAGGTCAGTTTTATTTTTGAGTGAATTACTTCCTCTTTTAATATTAATAGTGAAGACATAATGTTATATTCTTACAGTTTTATTTTTAAAGTGATTTTTAAATTATTTGATAACCTGAAAGAATGTTGTTTATATATAGTCATCTTATAGAATCTATATTGCTCTAATCACACTGATTATATACAATATTAAGACTTTTCCTTGTTTCCTTTTTAATTAACTGAATAGTAACAGTATTATAAACGATAAACCAAAGTCATTGTTGTATAAAAGTAGCTCTGTTAATTTTTGTGTATTCCACAGTAGCTGGCACAAGGTGAGTGTTCGATAAATATTAGTAATTTTTGACTCCATAGTGAAATAAAAACACACAGAATCAAAAAACTAAAGGATTTAGTATCCAAAGGGAGCCTCTGCTAACTCAAAGTAGAAACTAGCAGAAATAACAACATACAAGGTTTTTTTGCTTTGTGTACCTGAATGAACCTAACGCTAAGATTATTTTTTAATATGAGGCTTTAGAGGAAAGCTTTTTATTTCGAAAGCTTGGTTTTAATCTCAAAATTGGCCTTTATGTGAGAGAGATGAGAATAAATTATACTGTATACTTACCAACTCTAAAGACAAGTGATTGACTATTTTGTTAGTCTAGAACTGTGTTGTCTAATATGGTACCCACTGGCCGCATGTGGCTCTTGAGCATTTGCTGTGTGGATAGTCTGAATTGAGATGTGCTGTAAATGTAAATTCCACACCTGATTTAAAGTCTCAGCATGAAAAAACAATGTAAAATATCTCATTAATACTTTTTGTATATTGATAAGCTTTTTGTACTGTTATGTTAAAATCCGTTGGTATGTCTTTCACTTTGAATGGATCTTTCTACCGTGTATGATTCTGTTAATATCAGTCATTGGTTATTTGGAAAATACTGGTTTACTGAGTTATTCAGATTTCCCAAATATTGACAGATTTTATTATACAGTATTAAAAAATTACATTCATTAGTACCACTACCAATTTTATCAGAAAAGCCTTCAAGTATTGAGAAGCTGTCAAGCTTGAGATGGTAGATACAAGTTTCATAAAATTCTAATTTTCGCTTGAAAGCTTGAGTTTTATCATTGGCAACAAATACTGTCACTTGTTTTCCTTGAAGTGACAGTTTCGCTTTGTTCGTTTTTCAGAAAATGTCTGCCAGATGCCCAAGTCTGAAATCCATAGTTTTTGGATGTCAGTCTTTCTTTCTAGTAAAAATAATATTCCTTGTAAAAAGTGGTTAATTCAGTCATTACCAAACACTTGTACAATGGCTTTTCCTGGAGAAAATTATGATACTTTGATATATAGCAAAATTGCTTTATGTGTACTTCTCATTTCACTGCATAGAATATCAGAAAGAATGTGTACTCAAAGGTCATGATTTAATAAGATTAATAATTCTTACTGCTTCATCAAGAACGTTCTTAAGTGAAGATGGCATTTTTATTTTATGATTTTTTTACTGCAAGTGTGCAGTGTTGAAGAAGACAATGACTACTGCTAGCACAGTCTGGTGCCACTGCATTGATTTTGTGCTACGGCACCTGCAGTTTTACCCACCAGTGCTTTGACATCTTCAATGCAAATGTCAACACTGAGAAAAAGGCAAATAATAGATAATGTCTTAGTATTATTTATGAAAATAGTTTGGCCTTGTGGACACTCTGAAAGGGTCTTGGCAACTTCCAGTGATCAATAGACTATTCCTTGAGAACTGCTGCTGTAGGGTATATAAAAAATTGCTAAAAATCAGATCCTGACCACAAGACTAGTGTATATTTAAGATGAGGCCACAAATAGCAGAATATAAGGCTGAGTATCATAAGCACTGCATAAGAGCTACAGACTTTTGTAGATGTTCAGAAGGCGGGTGATAATCAGCTTAGACCACATCAATAAAAGTGTTCTTGAAAGGATTAGTACTTTAAATGGACTTTAAAAGATGAGAAGATTTCAATTAGTGGATATTTGGGGTGGTAGAGGAGAGTGTTTCATGTAGAAGCAACAGCATGAAGCTAGAGGGGTAGATACTTATGGGACTTTGGGAAAATCATTTCATCTCTTTGGACTTGAGTTCCCTAATCTATAAAATGAGAAGACTGAATTTGATCATTTAGGTCACTTCCAGGTTTAAAGTTGCAAGATTCCAAGTAGTATTTTTGTAAAATTGTTGCTGTCGTCATTATTATTGTTGTTGTTGTTAGGACCAGAAATATTTAAATGATTGTAATTAAAATTTAGTGTTTTAAAAATATAAATGAAGGCATTCACTCTGTGTATGCTGTTGTATTTATTAGTGCCTGAAATTTGAGGAGGGTGGTAATGAAGGATTTTAAAGGACTTTATAGGAAACACATTGTAAATGGTTCTTTCATTTTTATGATCATAGTAAGTTCATTTTATTACCTCTTGTTGTATTTCGTTTTCATGTTGGAGGTTGGGATATAGGTGGAATTGAGTGTAATAAAATATCCTTAGTGCCCTTACTGTATTAGAATTTTTTTTTAGTGTTTGCATTGCTAGAATTCACATTCATTCCCTTTATTAAAAGTATTTGAGGGCCGGCCCTGTGGCTTAGCGGTTAAGTGCGTGCGCTCCGCTACTGGCGGCCCGGGTTCGGATCCCAGGTGCGCACCGACGCACCGCTTCTCCGGCCATGCTGAGGCCGCGTCCCACGTACAGCAACTGGAAGGATGTGCAACTGTGACACACAACTATCTACTGGGGCTTTGGGGAGGAAAAAGGAGGAGGATTGGCAATAGATGTTAGCTCAGAGCTGGTCTTCCTCAGCAAAAAGAGGAGGATTAGCACAGATGTTAGCTCATGGCTGATCTTCCTCACACACACAAAAAAACTATTTGAGGATTTAAATATTTGTCGAGTGGTTATTTACAAGCACAGTACGACAGATTTGCCCCACTCTGTGATTTTACTTTTTAAAAATATCTATTTCAGTTACTGTATGAAATTAGACTAATTGAAAATGTGGCTGCTTCTGAATTTTAGACATTTTTGAGAACAGTTAGATGCAGAAATACTTATGACAAAAATTTTCCTTTTTGACATTAAAGGCTGACTTTTCTTGAGAATAGGAATTATTTGTTATTAATTTTGTGCCCTTTAGTACCTAATACAGGGCTTTATAGTAGTAGTGTAGTCAAATAAATATTGGTTAAATTGAAAATAATTCGAATATAGAACTTTTTAGTTGATAATGTTTTTCTTTGAAACATTAGGTTTTGTTCACAAATCTGATTTTTCAGTAGATTGTCTGTGTGTTTTTTCCTTCAATGTCTAGTGTGAGTTTAGCTTAAATGTTAGTGATGAATTATTATCTCAGATGACTGGTATGAACATCTTGTGTTTTATGCAAAGATTTCTGGAGAGAACGGTATATTTTACCGACCTTTTGTTTTTGACTCTCTTTTAGGAATGGATCGTGATTATGGCCCTGGATCTTATGGAGGTCTGACATTCAAGGATATTTATCTAAAAAGTCTTCTTTTGAGTGCCAGTAAAGGTGAGCATCATTTAATTTTTTTTCTTTTTAAACTCTTTATAGGGATGGATCGTGACTATGGCCATGGATCCTATGGGGGTCAGAGATCCATGGATTCCTACCTAAACCAGTCATATGGCATGGACAATCACAGTGGTGGTGGTGGGGGTAGCAGGTAAATTGCTTAATCACTTTGCCAAATAATTAGTCGACTATAAGATTCTGGATATTTTAATTTCGTTTAAGTATTCCTTAGGCATGTTATGGTACTTGAATTTCACTATTTGATATTGAATAATCACCTTAAATGTTTAAAGGTGTTAACTAATGGTTATAAAAATTATCTCAGGGTCACTGGCAGACATTTTAGGAAAACCTCAAACTCTCATCATTTCAATATAATAGAGTAAGATTTTCTGTCTTTAGTAGTGAACATTTTTTTTACTTCTTTTACTTTTCACTCATTAATCAGAATGTCCTGAACAAATGGTATAAAAATGTTATTGGAAATATTACTTGTGAAGATTTTCTCAATGATTTTTAAAAAAATCATTCCTATTGTGGGGTGCTCTGTAAAGCATAAAGTAGTCTTTGACTAGAGTGGGTTAACTGAATCAGTCTAGCTACACTTAATTTCTAAGAAACATTTAAGATAGTTATTCTTTTAATTTTAATTTTAAAGTAAGTTGCCAGAGCATATTGTAATAATAAAAATGTTCTTAAATCATGTCTAGGTTATGTATTGTCAGGTACTACTTACACCAAAAACACCTGTGCTCTAGACTAAGAGCATTGTATTAAAGCCACGAATACTATATCTTTGTTTATTTTAATGCACTAGAGTTTAGATTGTGTTTATATTTCACTGTTGATACTGTGTAAAGCTTAAACCTAGTTGAACTACTACAGGTTTTAGGGTTGACCACGTTTCAGGCAAGGGCATCTACTTTTTGAGGCACAGAGATTCCTACTAAATATAAGTACAACTAGTTAGGAAACATTTGAAACTATCGTCCTTCTTCATAAGTTGAAGGATCCGGATTCCTTAAGGATGGACTGAATGATGCTTACTTTCCTTCTTTCTGCTTCAAGTGTGCCACTATGGTTTATAGTAGAGACAAATCAAGAAAATGAAAAGTTCAACAACTCTGCTTGTGTGATAGATGTTTTGAAAAATGTAGTTGGAAAGAGGGATAATTTTTATATGGTTACTAGGATTCAGAAGTAAATAGTACCTTCTGTTTAGTGATCTGTAAATAATTGAAGTAATGTAATACATTTAAATGTTTTAATATATCAGTTATTGCTCTATTACATTGTAAATGTAATTAATGTACATAAACTATGTAGATGTTATTATTTATCTCATGTGTAATTGTAGGCCTTTACAAAACTATGTTGTAAGATAATGAAGCAACTTTTGTAATCCATGCTTTTGGATTTGTGAGAAGTAAGATGATTTGTTTCTTCTGTTGACTCTATTAAAACCTTGAGGAGACTGTGTGCTCCTTTTTTAGGGTAGTTTTATGTGATAATTTCCTGCCAGGAAATAATTTTTGAAATAATTGAAGGCATTATAAAATGTATTCTTCCTTATCTGCCTTGAATATACATATGTAGAAGGGTATATGTTGGTGGTCTTTTACTTTTATGTTCTATTTTATGTGCTTATTCTTCTAGATTTGTTAGATTTACTAGTCTACAAGTGAATGAGGATTGATTATTGACCTTAGCTGAAGTTTGGCAGATTGTCAAATTTTATAACCAGAGATAATTCTCCAAATTTTGACTACTACAGACACAGTGAAGCAGTTTTGTGATATAGCTTATTGGGGGTGCATAAGGATCTCTTCTGTGTCACAAAGAGTCTATATCTGTGTAGTCTTCAATTTGTGTCCCTATGGAAAGCCAAAATGTTGTGAATGTTTTGTATTTTCTGATATTAGGGTTGGATTCGAAGAAAGTTTGAGTAGTTTGTGAACTTTAGCAAATGACTTTTTCCAAGACTAGGGCTGGGCTTAAATAATGACAGACAAATCTTTTCTTTTTAATAAAGTAGAAAAGCTGCTAAAAAGCAGATTTTTAAGCTAAGCTTTACTTAATTCATATTTAAAAATGGACTCAGATAGCTTTTTATCTGGTCTCATGTTGAATTGCCCAGCCCTAATCAAGTGTGAACAAAAGTAGAACTGTGCAAACCAGTATGGTATAAATGAATTTTAGTTGATAAATGTCATCTGATAATTTGTCTTTTGAATTGTCTAACATTAGTAAGCTTACTTTTGTTTTTTCCCTTACTGTGCAACTTTTCCAGGTTTGGACCTTATGAGTCTTACGACTCCAGGTCTTCTCTGGGTGGGCGAGATCTGTACAGATCTGGCTATGGTTTTAATGAACCCGAACAAAGCCGCTTCGGAGGTAGTTATGGTGGTCGATTTGAGAGCTCCTACCGGAATAGCCTTGACTCTTTCGGAGGTAGAAACCAGGGCGGGTCTAGCTGGGAAGCACCTTACTCCCGTTCAAAATTGAGGCCTGGGTTTATGGAGGACAGAGGAAGAGAGAATTACTCTTCCTACAGCAGTTTTTCTTCACCCCATATGAAGCCTGCACCTGTAGGCTCTCGGGGGAGAGGAACGCCTGCTTATCCTGAAAGTACGTTTGGAAGCAGAAACTATGATGCTTTTGGAGGACCATCAACAGGCAGAGGCCGAGGCCGAGGAGTAAGTACAACAGAATCTTTTCAGATTCTTTTCACTAGTCACTCTTTTAAACCCTTTCAAGACCATGGTTTTCAACTAGAATAAACACTGTTCATCCCAGTGTGTTTTGAAGCAAAAGCTGAGTCATAAGCATAATTTTTAGGTTGCCTGTAACAGTTTTTGTAGCACGTCAGAAAGATAAGTGGCAGTGTGAGATGATTGTTTATAAAGTTTTGCCAGGTCTCCCTTTATTAAAAAGGTGAGGATCTTAGGTTTGGTCTAAAAGGGGTTAAAAGGAGTTGCATTTTTCCTTGTAAACACTAGCAGTTTTGCTGGTGTGACAGTTCTTAGATTATTGTAAAAGGTACCTTGAACCCTTTTGGCGTTCTTGAGTAGGTTAAAGGTGCAATGTATGATAAAATGTTTATACTTTGCTGCTAAACTCTAGCACATAGCATTTCTTCAAAGCTCCATATTTCACATTAAACACAAGAGACTGAAAGTTGGTGATAGATGAGGGTAGCTTAGTCATGTACATGGTGAAGAAGTGGATTTGTATATTAGGTTGTAGAATGATTTGTCGTCAGTATAATTTTGCTAACTCACTCTCTTACAGTATGTCCTATTGCTGGGTGTTCTGTTTTCCTTGTGTCACTAGTTTTACTATTAAGAAATACTTTCCTACCTGTGCAAACATGTTTTCAGCTCCTTCCTAGGAAGTAATATTTTGTAAATTATTGCTTAAATGAGTAAATAGACTACTCTTCAAGTGTTTAATTTCAGGATATATAGTGTAAAGATTATGCCTTATGTTCTTAGGTAACTTGACTAATGTGAAATTTTACCTAGTAAGTGTATGTAGATTGTGGGGTTATTATGTAGTTTGATCATATAAAGATTATTGTATTTTTGCTATAATGTAAGAATTTTTTTTTGTCAGTTGCTCTTAATATTCTCTTTGCAGAGGAAAGTACTTCTGATAAAAAATGTAGTAGGACACATGTTTTTGACTGTTCATTAGCCTTTGACATTAGTGTAGTTTGTCATACTTGTGTAGAAATTTTGCATTTATAACAGTTAACTCTTTACTTATGTAAAATGCATTGCACCTTTAATGGATAATTACTGAAGATTTTCTCATGTGACTATATAAATTACCTGGAAACACTAAGTTATTCAAGTCTACTAGGTTAGATAGGTATTCTAAACATAATATACAAATGTAAGCAACTGATATGTTGCTATTCTACCATACTTTATGATTGTAGGTTAATTGAAAATAGTTGAGTTAATAGGCTTTGGGTTTTGAAATTGAAAATCTATTTCAGTTTGAAAATTTGGAAAACAATATGTTTTCCATGCTTTATATTACTTTAGGCAAATGATTTTTTTCTTAATGAGATTTCAAGTATCAATTTTGTTTTCATGATAGGAAAACAGGTATTCCTGTACTTTATATTTATCATTCTAGTCTGAATGGACTTTTCTTTCTTTCCTCCTGTTAATGAAGTAGATGAACCAATAGGACTTTCTTTTTTAATCTTCACTTGTACAATTCCCATTGGATCCTTCTCTTCAGATTACTCCTCAATCTTTATCTTCTAAAAGTAAGGTTAGCAGAATAAATGTCTGTGGACATGTGGCCTCTTGGTGTAGTGGATTTTGTTAATGACAAGAGAAGAGGAAGGGACACAAAGAGTCGTTTGGTTGCATGACTCTTCGTATGTAACCTTTTGCTTCTTGGACTTCTGGGTCAGAAAATGTTTCTCTAGGTAAGAATGTGAATGGAACGTCAGATGCAATTCTTTATCTGAAGTGTGTCTTGGAAGTTGATGCATGGTTATGCTTTAACTCTCCTATTTCATACTAATGTTCCATCTCGCCTTCTCATTCCCTTTTTCAACAGGGAGAAATCCTAAATGATTTCTGGATCTTTTTTACTTCAAACTTCAAATATGATCTTCTTTCTGTATCTTAGTTTTAAGCCAGGCTTTAGTAAAATAAAGATTTCTTTGAAGGTCTTTTCATGGGAAAACATCAATTAGGAACTCTGAAGAGGAGTTGTCAGAGAGTTGTACAAGTGGTAATATTGTGACAGGCACATAATGTTGTTAATGATCTCAAGTAATTTTGAGTTGTAAAAATGAGAAAATAGGTAGGAAATATCCATATTTGTTTTACTGGAAATAAAAATACTAATTCACTGGATTTGAGTTCATGTAATAATTTACGAAGTTTTTCAATGTGCTTATGCAGAGTGGACATGTAATATTTAGTTACATTCTGGGGAATTTTCAGGTGAAAATTATTAGATAGATAACATGTAAATTTTGTAAGAATTCATACTTTATCGTTGGATATTATGCTAATATTTCTTGATTTCACAAATTGCAGCATATGAGTGATTTTGGAAGCATTCATAGACCTGGAATTGTTGTTGACTATCAAAACAAACCCACCAATGTGACAGTTACTGCTGCAAGAGGAATAAAGAGAAAAATGATACAACCATTTAATAAGCCTGGTGGAACCTTTATCAAGAAACCCAAGCTAGCCAAACCTGTGGAGAAGATGAGCCTTAGCAAATCACCCAGTAAGTGAAAAAACGTAATTGCTATGATTTAGCATACTTTTTATTTTTTTAAACTTCAGTGCTTTTAGGTAATTTTTTCGTGTTTATATAGACAAACTGCATAATAATTACCGTTGTAGAAATGAGATCTGTGAATCCCCTAGTGCAGTTATTAATCAGTCATGAACATCAGAATTACCCAAAGATACTTTTTAAATTCATGTCCTTGTCCACCCGTCTTCCCTAAACCCTGATTTAGGGTGGAGTCAGAACATCTACATTTTTAAAAAGGCCTCACACATGATTTTGATTCAAACTCCTTTTTTGGGGTTGTATTTGTTGTTGGAGGTATCGTCGAAGAAGTGGTATGTCACATTACATAGAATCCCCTTTATGAGGACAAAGGAAAGACATTTTTTATAGTCCTTAGTACCAGGAAAAACTGTGTTTCTTCTAGAAAATTAATTGTGTTTTAGTCTTCTGAACATGATGACTCTTAAAAATAATCATATTTCCATTTTTACATTGTTAAAAAGTTGAGAGCCAAGCTGAAAATGCAATTAAGGAAACAATTTTATTAATGTTAGGATCAAGAAGAGTAAAATACTGTGGAATAAATTTAACAAAAGTGGTGCAAAACTTATACTTTGAAAACTACAAAACATTGTTGAAAGAAATTGAAGACCTAAATAAATGGAAAAACTAAATAAATGTTCATAGATCAGAAGACTTAATATTGTTAAGATGGTAATATTTCCCAAAGTGATGTATAGATTCAACACAATGCCTGTGAGAATTCTACTTGACTTCTTTGCAGAAATTGACAGGTTGATTCTAAAATTCATAGAGAAAAGCAAGAGACTTAAAATAGCCAAAATAATCCTGAAAAAGAAGAACAAAATAGAAAGACACATACTTCATGATTTCAAAACTTATTACAAGGCAACAGTAATCAAGACATTGTGGTACTGGCACAAGGACAGACGTATAGATCAATGAAATAGAATTGAGAGTCCAGAAATAAACTCGTAAATCTATGGTTAACTGGTTTTTAACAAGGATGCCAAACTTAGAAGAAGAGAATAGTCAACAAATGGTATTGGGACAACTGGATAGCCACATGCAAAAGCTAAAATGTAAGACCTAAATGCAAGAACTAAAACTATAAGACTCTTAGAAGAAAATATAGGGGTAAATCTTCATGACTTTGGATTTGGCAAGGAATTCTTAGAGACGACACTAAAAGCATGAGCAACAAAAGAAAAAATAGATAAATTAGACTTTATCAAAATTAAAAACTTTTGTGCTTCAAAGGACACCATCAAGAGAGTGAAAAGACAGCCCACAGAGTGGGAGAAAATATTTGCAGATCATACATCTGATTAGGGCCTTGTGTCTCGAATATATAAAGAATTTTTATAACTCAAAAGACAAATAGCCCAGTTGAAAAGTGTGCAAAGCGTCTGAACGTTTTTCCAAAAAAGGTAATGCAAATAGCCAGTAAGCACATGAAAAAATGCCCAACAATTGCTTTTCAGGGAAATGTAAATCAAGACCACGATGAGATACCACTTCGCACCCACCTGGATGGCTAGAATGAAAAAGACAGATAATAATACTTAGCAAGGGTGTGGAGAAATCAGAGCCCTCACACCCAGCTAGTGGGAATGTGAAATGGTGCAGCCGCTTTAGAAAACAGGCAGCTCCTCAGATAATTCAACAATTACCATATGATCCAGCAATCCCATTCCTAGGTATATATCTAAGAGAAATGAAAACATATGTCCACACAAAAACTTATATACAGATGTTTATAGCAGCATTATTCATAGTAGGGAAAAGGTAGAAACAACCCAAATATCTATCAGTGAATGAATGAATAAACAAAATGTGGTGTGTCTATACAATGGAGTATTTTTAACCATAAATGGAATGAAGTACTGATACATGCTACAACTTGGATGAACCTTGAAAAGATTAGGCTAAGTGAAAGAAGCCAGTCACAAAAGTCCACATATTATATGATTCTCTTCATTTGAATGTCTAGAATACAGAAATCTATAGAGACAGAAAGTGGATTGCTGGTTGTTTTGGGTTATGGGATGTGTAGGGAGTAATACTTAAAGGGTACCAGGTTTCTTTGTGAGTTGATAAAAGTGTTCTAAAATTAATTATGGTGATGTTTGCACATATCTGTGAATATACTGAAAACCATTGGATTGCACACTTTAAATAGGTGAATTGTATGGTATGTGAATTATGTCTCAATAAAGCTTTTTTTTAAAAAAGTTCAGAGCCAAGTTACTCTTTTTTTTTCCTCTTTTAGTGTATTTTATTTTTTAACTTTGTAATGTATCTCAATGAAATCAAGTGCATTTGACCAACTTAGATTAGATTAAGTCAAGGAAATACATAAATAAAAGCTAAGAAAATGTCTTTTTAAGCATTCTTTGTGAAAACATATATTAGCAAAATAATATAAACAAATATTTTGCCTATTTTTGCCTGTACACTAAATTATATTTTGTTTTTTATATTTATTTTTGCCTTGATGACTGAGAATTGTTTTGTCTTTCTAAGTTAGGCAGTATTGCAAGGGTGCAAAAATTATTCCTTTCTTTAGAATTAATATTTGATTACCTCATCTAGTTGAGACTGGAGAAGATTTAGATAATTGTAATGAATGAATATTCCAAAAGTTTCTGGTCAAATTTTTCAGTTATTTTACATCTAGTTTTAAAAATAAGATCATTGAGCATTACAATGAATTAATTAGAGTGTGTATTCTTTTGATGTTGGAGGTGCTAAACAGTGGTGATAGCCTTCAAATAATTATAAAAAATGAGGGAGGAGGGAAAGAAGCAAGGAGGCCTAGATAAGTCCTACTTCAAAGCAGGATATTTTTATAGATACTGAAGTATGTTTGTTTTGTTTTTTGAATTTCATCTTCATTTAAATTGCTTAAGGATTAATTTGATAAAAGTGGGATTGTAGTAGTTGTTAGTAGTAGTAAGCTAGCACTTAACTGAATGTGTATTGTACACTAGACACTGTGTTAAAGGGCATAATGTGCATTAAACCTATGTCATTCTCACATCAACCTACATAGGTATAGTATGTATATCAGACCCTCTACAGCTGAGAAACAGGCACAGAGCAGATAAATAACTTGTTGCACAGGTCAAACAACCAGTAAACGATGAAGCCAGGATTTATTCCAGGCTCTAGAAACCTTTCACTTAAACTTCTATGTGATTGTAGCATAAAAGTGCTTTGTATTATTTTTTTTCTCTTTTAAAACAACTTTTTTTCTAATTATAGTGTTACAGACATTTTATTGTATCATATTTGAAAAAAATAATTGAAATTGCAAATGTTGGTTCTTTCCTCAAAATGTATGAACTATAATACAAAACTCAGGAAAGGTTTAAATACTGTTCTTAAATCTACTTTCCTGCCATGCTTTGCAATTGATATCTATACTGTTTAATAAAAAATAACTATATTCTGGAATTCTGGAAACCTGATACTAAGTTTGTGGAATGTGTGTTGTGGGGATACCTTTTATACTGTGTTAATTTTTAGACATTTGTTTACTAAATTGTGTGCTCTGGGTATTAATTACTAGAAGAGTCAATTCAGTTGATCCTCTTGGGGCAGATTTCAAGATATATTTTGCAGGTTTAGTTAAATAAATATTGCAGAGTTTGATACAGATACTGATTTACAGAACTGAAACAGGAGCTGAAGCAGATATATGTTGGCCAACTTTTTTTTTTCTTTTTAACAAAACTTGAGAATACTGTAGTGTAGCTAAGAGTGAATACTGTAGTGTAGCTAAGCCAAAATTCTGTAGTCAAATCAGGCTTTCACTGTCAGGTGTGAGGTGAGCATTTTGAAAGATATCTGCTGAATATTCAGCAATAAGAAGTCTTGCTACACTGTAGTGTAGACTATATGATTTGTTGAAAAGCAGTAGGAAAGGAACCATATTCTGTCATTTGGCTGGGGGTACAACATATTATATTGTAGCTTTAGCATATGAAAGAGAAATGAAATTCTAGTTTGAGGTCATATACGAGTGGATTTTCTATAGAATGAGGGTTTGAGGGAAACTGAATGAGGATATTGAAAATGGTTAATAAAATAAGAATGTACATTCAAGTGCTTATATAATGATGAAAAATAATCTAGATATTGAATTTTACGGTATTGATTTTATAAAATTTTGAAACATCCCACTGTATACATAGCAAGTGCTTAATAAATATTTGTTTACTATCAAATTTATGAATCCCCAGATGTTCATGATTTTGTATTAGATGTTTTTCCAAAGGTAATCCAAAATGATAATGCATAAAAAGAAAAATTTAAGGGTAGACAAGTTTTTTTTTAGTCTGAAGTTAAATGTATTGTAAGAAAGAACCTGCTCACAATGAGATACCACTTCACACCATGTGACATGGATGGCCATAATTAAAAAAAAAGGAAAATAACAAATGTTGATGAGGATGTGGAAAAATTGGAACCCTCACACATTACTGGTGGGAATGTGAAATGGTGCAGCTGCTGTGGAAACCAGTTGGTGGTTCCTCAAATGATTAAACATAGACTGACCATGTGACCTAGCAATTCCACTCCTAGGTATATACCTCAATTGAAAAGAAGTATTCAAACAAAAAAACTTGTGCACAAATGTTCACAGTAGCATTATTCACAATAGCCAAAAGGTGGAAACAATGAAAATGTTCATCAGCAGATGAATGGATAAAAAAAAAGTGTGGTGTATCCACACAATGGAATATTATTCAGCCATAAAAAGGAAGGAGATACTGATACATGGTACAACACATGGATGAACCTTGAAAACATTAGGCTAAATAAAAGAAGCCAAACAAAAAAGGCCATGTGTTCTATGATTCCATTTATATGAAATATCCAGAATAGGGAACTCTATAGAGAAAGCAAGCAGATTCGTAGTTACCAGGGGGTTGGGGAAAGGGTAAGTGGGGAGTGATTGCTTAATGGATATGGGGTTTCCGTTTTGGGTGATGAAAAAGTTCTAGAACTAAGTAGTGATGATAGTTGCCCAATACTGTGATTTACTTAATGCTACTGAATTGTACACTTTGAAATGGTTAAAATAGTAAATTTTGTCCCATGTATTTTATTACTTTATTATATTCACATTAAAAAAAGTTTAAAGAAAAAGAAAAAACCTGCTTTTATTTTAGAGTTTATACATTTTAAGAAATTTTGGGAGAGCTGCTATAATATGTATGAATTTTTGCATCCAAGGCTTTCCCTTGTTCATTGAATTTCCATTTTCATTCAGGGTCAGGTTACTTCGGTGTTTCCCAAAGTGGTATTCAGGATGATTTTAGATGATATGGGTATTATTGGTTAAAATGAGGATAAGAAGAAATGAGCAGATTTAAAGAAAAATATGTAGCAGATAATCACATAGATGAGAAGTAAATATGGCAAAATTGACAATGATGGTATTCAGATGAATGAAGTTTCAGAAATACTGAGTAATCTCAAACTCTGATTTTTCTGGTGAGTTCAATTTAGATTACAATCACCAAGTAAACCTTGTATGTCTGTACTTTATGAACTGGGGATTGGAAAGGGAGAATGGAAAAATGGTTTTTAGTTTTGACTTTTTTGTCTTGACATCCTAGCAAAATCTGATCCTAAAAATGAAGAAGAAGAAAAGCGACGAATTGAGGCTCGGCGAGAGAAACAAAGGCGCAGAAGAGAAAAAAACAGTGAGAAATATGGAGATGGATACAGGTTTGTGCTTAGTAGAGTCAGAAAATTGGGCTTATTAAAAAACAGTTTCCTAGAAAAGGAAAATGCATGAATTGGAATGTGAAAAAATTCTCGAGAGTCAAATGAAAAGGTTTGATCAAAGATATATAGGAATGCTTTTGATTTTTGATATTTATATGCAATCACCACTTAGAAAATATAAGAAAAAAGGATCTCATTCATAATTGTAATCCAAAAATAAAAAATTTCCAGAAATACAGTATTCTTAAAAAGAAATGCATATCATAACCTGAAGAAAACCACCAAGTCTTCTTGAGATTTGACTACATAGAGACATAGTGATATTTTTGGTTAGGAAAACTAAATATTACACATATGTTGGGTCTTTTCAATCCTGATTCCAAAGAAGGCTCTAAAAAAGAAGAGTAAATGAGTAGATACTAGCTTTTCTAGTTATTAAAACATTAGAAAGCTATAATAGTTAAAAATATGTCGTACTAGAGAAAGGTAATCAGTGTAACAGAATTATTAACCTGTAAACAGATGGATTATATGTAAGAATGTAATATATAATAAAGAAGGTACTGAAAATGAAAGAGGAATTTCTTGAATAAACGGAACAATGACAAGAAAAATAGTCTAGATCCTCTTCTTACACCAGTGAGGATGAATCCAGATGGATTAAAAAACCTAAAAAAATGGAAAATAATGGGAAAATAAAATGGAATATTTTAATCTCTGCAAGAAAATTTTTTTCTAGGCTTAAAAGTTACAGAATAAATTACAAAGGAAATGATGCCCAGATTTGTTTAAATAAAAATTTATAACTTGAAAGCAGAGAGACTTGGAAAATATTATAAACATGAGAGATTAATGTCTAAGTTAGATAAAATCACCCAACCAGAATTTTTTAAAAAGTAAGAAAACAAGATGCCCAATACATAATTTGGTGAAGGAACAACAGCTAGTTTATAATTTTACAGAAAATGTTGAAACTCGCTGTAAGTTAAATAAACTGAAAATTTAAATAATGGTATGGCATTTTATCGAGGAGAAAAGAAATATTGTTTTACTAACTAGGATACAATCAAGGGACGAATTTGCTGGTGACAATATAATGTGGTTGTAACTACTGGGAAGCATTTTAGCAGTTTTTAAAAATGTCTTGAATTTTTTTATACTCATTGATCTCTCCAAGAAAATCTAAAAATATAGAAGAGTTTAATCTAAAAAGATGCCCATTACAACATTATTTATAATAGCTCCAAACATAAATACCAGCAATAGACAGTGATCAAGTATATGTAAGGTTTGACACATCCCTTCATGAGCTCTTAGGCCATTGTTAAAAATGAAGCTTATAAAGCCTGTAATAACGTGGAGAAAATGCAGGCAAAATAGGAAAATATATATACAAGATGTAAAATTATGCATAGCAATAAAAGAGACTACCTGGAATTTTTTTTTTTTTTGTGAGGAAGATCATCACTGAGCTAACATCCAGGCCAATCTTCCTCTTTTTTGCCAAGGAAGATTGGCCCTGGGCTAACATCCGTGCCCATCTTCCTCTACTTTATATGGGACGCTGCCACAGCATGGCTTAACAAGCTGTGCATTGGTGCGCGCCTGGGATCCAAACCTGCAAACTCTCGGGCCGCCGAAGTGGAGTGCGCACACTTAACCGCGCTTCAGTGCACTTAACCGCTATGCCACTGGGCCGGCCCCACCTGGAATTTTTTTAAAAGGACAATAATTGATTTTTTTTCATCTTTTTTCTCTGAAATCTGCTCAGGTACTGCTTATGGTAGGAAAATAAAGAATATAAACTTTAAAAAGTAAATTCAGTGTATTTCCCATTCAAAATATGGTTTTGCTCTTTAAAAGTTAACTTGTTTATCTAACATGGAGAGAATGAAATGTTTCACATAAGTGAATTTTCTAGATGTCTAAAACTTGATTTTAATTCAAAAGATAACATTTTGAGAGAAGAATGTGCAAAACCTTTCCATGGAGGTATTTTTTAAATATGTGAGTTTCCTTTCATGTTAAACAGGGTGCTCTTTGTTCTTACTTCATTTTAATATATATATTTGTTTTATTTATGTAAAATGTAGTAAAAGAAAATTCAATTGCATCTGAATTCCCAGATTTTTCTGTTTAGAGTGTCTTTGATTTTAGTCTGCTAGTTATTACTTGTGTAATCTTTGTGTCCAGCTTTAATAACCTTTTCCTATGATCTTTCTGGTTTGTTACTCCTAATCTCTTGGGACCTGAGAAATGATAGGATTAAGCTTATTGAGAATTAACCCATAAAAAGAAATTCTAGTTTTAGGGGGTGGCTGTTTTTGGTTCCTGTGAGTATCTCCCCTACTCTGATATAATTCCTTCTTTTGACAGGGGTAATGGGCTTAGTTACTTTCGGGAGGAAATAAATTGAAATGAGCACTTTACCAAATGTGTAAGAGTCTGAAGGTGATTTTACATTATAAGATTAATTTTTCTATTTAATTACCCTATGAATACTTTCCCCATTAAAAATTACAGATTTGGATATATCCACGTTAATATAGTAAATGTTGTGCTTTGGAGAAAATGAAAGCACTGAATTTTCTTTTTCTTTTTTTTTTTTTTTGTGAGGAAGATCAGCCCTGAGCTGACATCCATGCTAATCTTCCTCTTTTTGCTGAGGAAGACCAGCCCTGAGCTAACATCTATTGCCAGTCCTCCTCCTTTTTTCCCCCCTTTTCTCCCCAAAGCCCCAGCAGATAGCTGCATGTCATAGTTGCACATCCTTCTAGTTGCTGTGTGTGGGACGCCGCCTCAGCATGGCCGGACAAGCGGTGTGTCGGTGCGCGCCTGGGACCTGACCCGGGCCACCAGCTGTGGGGCACGAGCACTTAACTGCTAAGCCACAGGGCCAGCCCCTGAACTTTCATTTAGCTGTTTTCTCCATAACTCTAAATATAAACCTGATGACATAACCAAAAGAATGTGAGTTCAACTAAATTGTCATTTTAGGATAAGAATCCTTTAAAATAGTCTAAAATTATTTTAATTTACCAGAGCAGTTCTACTTTGAGTTAGGAGGATAAGAGATTGACAATAAATAACTATTGTTGTGATATGTTCTTTTTGGATATTTCGGTGCTTTCAATATAATAAAGAGGATGGGAAGGTGAGGGAACCTGTGAGGAAAGGGATGGTTGTCTGAGAGGTGTGGACAAACAGCAGTGTGTGGTGGAGTATGTGGCCAAAAGAGAGTACAGAGCGCTCTTGTAGGAGTTGACTTCTAAATAGGAGTGCAGGGAAATCAGGGAAATGGATGAACCGATTTAGGAATCCTAGGGTTGTGCTAAAAGTTGTTAGGCAGCCCAGGTAGAGGGCATGGCTTGAGGTAAAAGCAAAGGAACAGGAACGTTTCATTGATATTCAGGAAATGGAAAGCTGTGTAGATTGAAAATGACTCCAGTGGGGTGAAAGGTGTAATCTAATTGAAACATTTAATGAGGACATATTATGTGCCAGATACTGTTAACTGTTAAAGGTATTAGTGGATAAAACCAAAAAGAGAGAGAGGAGAGATTAAGAGCTTTCTTAAATAGCAATTGAAAGTGTTTTGACTTTTTTGAGCCTTGAGGAGGCAGTGAAGGCTTTTGAACAGTAATGTGCGGTTGCCTCTTTTTGGAAGTAATAATTAATTGAATAATTACTTTGTGCCGGGAACTGTTCTAAGGGCTTTGTATATATAAATTTTTTTAATCCTCAGGGTAACTTTATAAGGGTTCTCATCTCATTAAGATAAGAAAACTGAGACCCCAAGAAGTTAAGTAACTTGCCCAAGGTCACATAAAGGGGCTAGGATATAAACCCAGCAGTTGGCTCCAGATCCCATACTCTTAACCAGGAAAATAAATCTAATAGTAGTGTAAGGAATTAATTGGAAAATAGAGACTGGAGATGGAGAAACCACTTGGGAAACTGTTGTCATAATTAAAGGAGAAGAAAATAATAAGAATATATAAGGTAGGAACAATTAAATGGGAGAAAAAGGGGGAATTCATTCTGGGATGACACCTGAGCTTCTAAATGGGTGCGTTTGTCCAGTCTTGGCCTATTAGTCATCCTGAAGTGGTCTTTAGAGGACAGGACTTTTGATGACCCAGGAGCTCCAAGGGAGTGAATTATGGTTGTTTGGTGTTCCAGACAACCTGGCTTTGTTGATACTGCCTTAGTGGTTTGGAAGCTTGAGGATGGAACAGAGTGTAAAATAAGTAGTGGAACTTTGGAACTTGTTACTTCTTAAGGTTTGCTTTGGTTTCCTAACTGGTCTAGGCTGGAAGTGGATAGCTTAGGACTAGATTAAATAGATACACTAATTCCCTCTTTCACACTCAGAAGTGCCTGGATGTGGCAGAAGTGCAAGGTGGTGTAATGATAGTGTTGTCCAAACAGGTACTTAAAGAAACACTGTTTTTTCTGACTTAAGCTAAATTATTTCATAAAGTGGAAGAAAGGAAATCATTTATGTTGGTAATTAGTTTCATTGATATATTCTTATGAACTCTTTCTAAGTAAATGAAAGAAAACTTTTTTTTTCGTTACAGAATGGCATTCACATGTTCATTTTGTAAATTTCGAACTTTTGAAGAAAAAGATATTGAACTGCATCTGGAAAGTTCTTCACATCAGGAAACATTAGATCATATTCAGAAACAAACCAAATTTGATAAAGTAGTTATGGAGTTTTTGCACGTAAGTAGCTGTTTTGAAATGAAAAGCACTTTATCTGACATTTGAATTTATTTTTTCATAGTTTCTCATCTCTCTCATTTTATGTTTCTAAAAATTTAATTTACTGTTTACTTAAAGAACGAGTTGTTTTAAAATTAGCCCAGACTTAGATGTGAATTCCTCCTCTATAATAGAATTTAGATTTGTTATTTGAGAAAAGATTTTACATTTTTCACAGTAATTTCTGGCAGAGGTATCAGGAAAAGAATTCATTTAGTAACTGTTTATTGATGTAGAATCAGCTGTCATCCATCGAGAGACTATGTACCTGGTGTTGTGCTGGCTACTTTCATTTATGCCTCATAACCATTCCTTTTTATCATGAAAGATCATGCTCAGAGCAGTTTAGTGACTCTCTCAGTAAGTGGCAGAGTCTGAATTCACAGCCAGGGAGCCTGCTGTCTGTTTGTTTAGGTGTCCTTTGTATTATCAGTGTGTGGTCATCAGTTCAACAATTTTTCTTGAATACTTAAGGAAGGTGCTGTGTAGGCACTGAAGACACCAAAACTACCCTCAATGAACTAATAGTAATAGGAAATAGAACACACTCACACATATACCGATGACAAAGTTAAGTGAAAGGGCCAAGAGTGATAGTGTGGGCAGAAGGGGATTGGAGAAGAGGAGGATAGTTGGGGCCAGGGATGCTTAAGGAAGGGGCTGTAGGTGGACTGCTAATTGTACATAAAATTAATTTGGGCAGAAAAAGTGGAATTGTTAGAAGGTTAGAAATACAGTGATCATTCACTCTATATGCTTGCAGAATTGTATCCCTTAATTAAAGTTTCTTTCTGTAATTTTGTTCCTTAACTGGTTCCTTACTGTCATTTAGGACTTAAGTACTCACCTGCCCTGAGAAGACCTCTTGAGTATTCCAACTCTCTTTGATCTCTCTTGCTTTATATGGCTAAAATACGTTTTGAAAAGTGAAGACTTTTTGTAGTTTCTTAGTATTTTATGATAGTCTTTTCAACTAAAGTGTAAGCTCCTTGAGAACAGATATGAGTTCTTATATAACAGGTATTGTTATCTTCCATGGGCCGAGCATGGTGCTAAGCATATACTCAGTGCTCACTGAAAACTGATTTTTGGATGTTTTGGATCGGGTTTTGTATTCTTCCTGTTTTGTTTTCTAGGAATGTATGGTGAATAAATTCAAGAAAACATCTATTCGTAAGCAACAGACAAATAATCAAACAGAAGTAGTCAAAGTAATTGAAAAAGATGTTATGGAAGGTAAGTATTAAAACAAATTGTTTTAGAAATTTACGTGTATATTTTACACACTGTAACCCATTTGAATGTAAATGATGCTCACTGGAGTGATACAGTACATGGTTATGTGTGGTAGCCCTTTGACTCTCTGTTCCCATGCTTACAAATGATCACTGCCTACCCTTACCTCTGTCCCTTCAGTTTTAGAGGAAAAGTCAGCTGTCTCTCTAGATGGAATATGCTTCTTCCACCTGTCCTCTGGCCCTCTTGCCCTTTCTCATCTCCTTAAGGACTTTTGCTCAGATAGTGAGCTCTTCTCTTCTGTTTTTCAGTCTTTTCTTCTCTTTTGATTACTTCTCTAAAGCCTATGCTCTTATCTTAAAAAAAAAAAACAGAACACTAAAGAAACAAAGGAAAAGAAAAACAGACACTAGTTCCCCTAAAACATGCCTTTGTTTTTAAACAATCACGCTTCTTTCAGCATAGTCCACACTGGTCTCTGTTTCTTCACTTCCCATTTATTGCTTTACTCACAGTAGACAACTTTCTGCTAGCGTTAGTCTACTGACACTGCTCTGACAGAGGTTACCAACACCGATTTCAATACGTTCTTTTGAATTATTATCTTACTTCTGCAATGTTTTTCACTGATAACTATTCTTCCTGAATCGATTTCCTCCCTTGGTTTCTGTGGTATCTCACTACCCTGATCTTCTTTTTTTTTCCCTTGTCATCTTTTTACTCTTTGTGCTTTTTTTCCCCACCAGGCTTTTAGAAGTTGATATTTCCCAGTATTCTGTCTTTGGTCCTATTATCATCTCTCTTTATATTCCTTCCTGATGAATTCTTTTACTTACAGAGCTTAAATTAATATCTATATGTTAACTACTTATACATCTAGAGCACGGATCTCTCTTCTGAACTCTGATCTCATACATCCAGCTGCCTACTAACACCTTTATTCAGCAGTCCCACAAAATCAACATATCCAAAAAATTTATCCTCTTCTTGAGCATTCCCTACCCCATAAAGAAAACAAAACAAAAACTCAACCAACATGTCCTTCATTTATCTTGGAAAGTGGCCCCACCATGAAAACCAGAAATATGAAGTTAATCCTAAGTACTTACTTTTACCTTCTATATCTGTAGCAGTGTGCTATTGGTTCTTTCTTTTACGTATCTACCAGGTCTGTTTCTTTACCTCCTCTTCAAATATTGCATTTGCTCAAATCTTTATCTGTTCTCTTTGTAGTTGTGGTATTTTCCTAACTAGTTTCCTTACTTCCAGTCTTTCTTATCTCTTATTCTACTACATGATTTCACTACTTGAGGAATTTTCAGTGGCTACCTCATCCTCTACAGGATAAAGTTCTAATTCCTAGGCTTGGCACACAAACCTCTCCGTGATCTAGACCTCACTCTTTTTTTCTCTTCTCATCGTTTGTCCCTTCTTTATATTCTGTGCCCCAGCCATACTGAATTACTTGCAGTTCTCAAAAAGTGCCATTTTCTCTCACATCTTCCCCTTGCGTATCTTTAAGCCTTCGCTGTAATAAACCTTGATTACCATTTTCAAGATCCAATGTATTTTTTGTTCCTTATGAATCCAGTTTTGACACCTTTTCCCCTTCCTTACCCATGCACATTCATAGTCATGGAAATTCTTATTTTACTATAAAATTAACATTTTTTTTTTTAATATTTTTGGGGGATGGACTAGAGACCTCAAAGCATGATAGTATAACATGATTAGGAAATATAATGTAATTACACTTTATAATTTTAATGTATTATCTAAATATTTTTAATCCATATATGCAGATTTATGAGATATGATAGAAAAACTCAACATAAACCTACATACTCTGATCCTTTTTTTGGAAGAAGGGGTATAAATAATCATGGAAACGAAATAGTAAAAACTTGAGTTGTCAGAAATAAGAATATATGAGTCATTACTTTTCTCATTAATAAGAAAATAATAATAATTGGATTTCTTTTGTAGGTGTTACTGCAGATGATCACATGATGAAAGTAGAGACTGTTCACTGCAGTGCTTGTAGTGTGTATATCCCTGCTTTACATAGTTCAGTTCAGCAGCACTTAAAATCCCCTGATCATATCAAAGGGAAGCAGGTAAGTTTTGATCTATCTTAATGAAGTCTTTGAATTATTCATCAATCCCTTATTGTCTTTTAAAAGTTGTTGTTTCACACCTACCTACTTGCATACAATCCTGTTAATCTCGTGTGCGACTGTTAGGAACCAAAAGTGGGTTTGCCTCCTGACAAGTTACAATCAGACTCTCAACCAGAAGTAGTTGTCACACAAAGTAGAACTTATTTGTAGCAAATAGGAGGCCATGCAGAATCATTTCCAAAGTCCCGGCTATCCCTGAATATGGGACAGCAGGGGCCTTTTATTTTGGATGGGGAATGAATATTCAAAAGGGAGAAGTGGGCATTCACTTGTGCAGGCTTAGTTGGAAAACAGGCTTCCACATACACTGCAGGTTATGGTAATAAGGCCTAAGCTCCTCCGAGAGAGGAGATCTTAGCGTTAAAAACGAGGCAGAGGTCATAGGCCTTGCTCTTGTGGTAGGGTTTGGTCTGGTTCAGGGTGGTTGTTGATTGCATCTCTTAGACAGTTAAATGTCTAACCTAAGTTAAATGCTTCCTACCCACCTTTGAGTTCCTGGGGCAATTAGTCAGTGACATGGCTAACTAAAGATACCTAGAGAGGCATTGTAGTATATTGGTTAAGATTATGGGCTCTGGAGCAAGACTTTCTGGGTTGAATCCTGGTTCAGTAGATAACATGTGTTAAACAAGTAAATTAACTTTTCTTTGTCTAAGTTTTCTTGTCTGTAAAATAGGGATGGATAATCATTCTGCTCTTTATGTGACTGTTTAAGGGTTAGGTTAATTAAAATATAAAAGACGCTTAAAATAGTGCCTGACACATAGTAAGCATTCTGGAAATCATAGCTGTTGTTGAACTGTTCTTTTTATTATTAACATTTTTTTTTAAGTTGGTACAAAATGGTTTTATGACTGTGAGTGTGCACGTGTATTTTAGAACAAAAAAGAAAGTAAAGATTTGATTATAATATACGTTTCTCTGATGGTTGGGAAAAATAAATTAAAAAAATAGGATTATCAGTTACTATCTATTGTTACATTTTGAGTAGAATTTACTCAAAAATACTCAAAAATTCTAGAAGAATTTACTGTTTTTTTTTTTAAACCTTCAGTGCACGGTTGTATATCCTAGTTGTTTTTAGTTTTTTTTTTGATTAGCATATTTTGGCTTCTATATTGGTTGGTTTTATTTAGTCAAATTTACTTCAAATAAAAAATGTTTATATTGTGAGAAATTAGTTTGTTTGAAAAGCATATTTAAGATATGCTTTTATTCAAATAAATTAATATTTGACTATGCTTTTAGTCAAATATTAAAGACTTAAGTTTTAAATAGAACATACCTGGGTCTTAAATTTGTATTTTGTATTGAAGTGAATCTCATTTAACTCAGATTTTTTTAGCCACTTTGAGCCATATAATCTTTTTAAAATCTTTGTCCTTTCACTTCTCTTTTTATATTTCCTTGACACCTTTTTGCCAACTAGACATTCCATATTATTACCTTTCCTCCTTTGTATAGTATAGCCTTGTGATAACTACAGCCCAGAGGAAGACTAATTACTCTAACAGTATGAAAAATTATTCTTTCTTTTTTGATAGTATGAAAATTAATAGTTGGAGTAGTTGGAGCTGGGTGGGGGGGTGGATGTAGAATAGAAAGGAGAGAAAGCAACTGTCTAGTAGACCTAGACTGATAGTATTTGGTGACTGCCTGTTTTTTGCTAAAGTAGGGCATCTTATTGAATCTTCATTGTTTTAATCCATAGGTGATTTAGATTATGGTCACAGTAGCTGTTGTTGCTTTATGGCTTAATTTGCCAGAAAGTAAATCATTTAAATCTGAGGAATTAAGTTTACAGTGTCATTTTAATTATGGAAATATATTTCATGGCATGGTTTTCAAGTATGTACCTCATTGTGTTCTATTTTTCATAGGCTTATAAGGAACAAATAAAAAGAGAGAGTGTCTTGACTGCTACAAGCATTTTAAATAATCCAATAGTGAAGGCGCGATATGAACGTTTTGTTAAGGTAAGATTTTAGGGCAAAAACTTTTTAGGTTATATCGTAGTATCGTGATAATTAAATGGTGACATGATAACTTTATGTGATGTTTAAATATAGTACAACATTAGGAAGAATTTTACTTCATATCTTGCGTACAGGTAAAACATCTTTTTCCCTAATTGTTGGGATTTGTGAGGGGAGGGAGCAATAAGCCATTTCTCTTTCATCCCCTTTCTGGCTCTGAGTCATTTGAGAGATACATAAGAGTCTGATAGAAAATCAAAATGTCAGGTTTATTCTTGATTTTAAAGAAAAGGATGACTTGAAGGATATATCTTAGATGTGTAGTTACTATGAACCTTCTAATATTTCACTCTCAAATTAAGTAGACTTATATCCCCCCAAACTCTGTTACTGGTTCAGCTAGACGGCAACAGGCTTCCCCTAGTTTACCACATGACATAGAACAGACAAAAATGTACCTCTCCAGTTGTTAGGAAGACCCAAAAAGAAGGGACCCAGAAGGGATTGAGTTGTACATGCCCAATTTCTTCTTCCAGGCATACTAATTGGATAAGTCATTCCACTTCCTTGGATGAAAAATTTGGAGGGGAAGCAGGAGATCAGATATGTTCCTTTAGGTCCTTCTGAGAAATGCATCATTAGATGATTTCGTCACTGTGCGAACATCATAGAGTGTACTTACACAAACCTAGATGGTATAGCCTACCACACAGCTAGGCTGTATGGTACTAATCTTCTGAGACCACCCGTGTATATGTGGTTCATTGTTGACTGAAAGGTTGTTATGCGGCTCATGACTGTATTTACATTGGTAACTAAATTTTTGTATAACTATATTATAGATTAGAGAAGTTTTGTTTATTTTGACTATTTCGATCATTAACAGGTACTCTGTGAAGAAGCCTGATATATATTTAATGACCATTAAATTATCCCTCAACCAAGTGACTTCCAAGTGAAATCTCAGTTCTTTCCACTTGTTCTTTAGGGGCCTATTTTCTGATTTGTTAATCGTATTTGTCACTGTTTACTGCATTCTTGATACCACTTTTAAAAAAAGAATGCAACCCTAATTGAAATCCAGTTTTATGATATATGGCATCAGAAACATAATAGCATCCCAAGAAGTGGAAGCAACCTAAGTGTCCCTCGACTGACGATTGGATTAAGAAAATGTGGTATATATATACAATGGAATACTACTCAGCCATAAAAAAGACAAAATCGTCCCATTTGCAACAACATGGATGGGCCTGGAGCATATTATGTTAAGTGAAATAAGCCAGAAAGAGAAAGACAAACACTGTATGATCTCACTCATATGTGGAATATAAACCAACACATGGACAGAGAAAACTGGACTGTGGTTACCAGGGCAGTGAGGGTGGGGGGTGGGCACAAGGGGTGAAGGGAGTCATATATGTGGTGATGGACAAACAAAAATGTACAACCCAAAATTTCACAATGTTAGAAACCATTAAAACATCAAAAAAAAAAAAAATTTGCCAAAAAAACATAATAGCATCATAGCTAAAATAGGAAAAATTAGGTTTTTTTCCTTGCTATATCACAAACTTTTGAGAGGTTAATGATTTCTATTGATGTATGAAAGTAATTTTTAATGAGAGAAGAACACAAATTAGAATTTCTACAGGATTTTCAAGCTAGATTTCAGAGTCACTTCGTGGAATGAGAGACATCACTGGTGGGAGTGTCTTGCTTATGTGCATATTGTGGGGAAAGTACCTAAACTGAGGAGAACATCTCTAGAACTTTGTTCCTCCAAATGTGATCCATGGACCAGCAGTATTGGCGTCACCTGGGAGCTCATTAAAAATGCAAAGTTTCAGTTCATGTCCAGGCCTATTGAATAAGAATCTTCATTTTAACAGGATCCCAGTTGATTCATATGCATGTTAAAATTCAAGAAGCACTGATGTCACATTACTTAATGTGATTTCCCTTTGTTCAGCATTTCTGTCTGCTCTGTTCCCTGCTGTCATTCCCCAAAATATCCTCTGCTTATGGTCAGCTCTGGTCATGGCTTAAAACTTTACTTTCAAGTGCTCTCATTCTGACAAGATACCTTTTTGATCTTTGTCCCCTGAAGCTAATCAGTTCATCAATTTCTCCCAATTCTCCAACTGTATCATCTCGTTCTACCTTCACTCCTTGGCCTGAGCACCCTTACAACAATGCAATGCTGCCATTCTACAATTCCTTAGTTATTTGTTCTCAGCCAGTTACCAGATCCCAGCACTGTGCCATCTCTGGTTAGCTTTATTAACTGTCTGTCTTACTAAAAATATTGTGGAAATGTGCCAGTACTGTGTTTGCCACATTTTCACTGCAGTTCACAATAATTTTACTTATTACCAATCAATTCAATATGCTTCCTATACTGACTGTTTTAGACTTCTTCCATTTTTCACATATCCAGGTTTCATCCCTACTCCCCTTGCTTCCCATGGTATCTCTTTTCTTAGGGAGATTGAGACCATTCGATATGAACTCTGTAAGTTCTCTCCTTTCTGCTTTAGATTTATATATCTTTCCCTCACCTTTATTGTTATCTATGAAGGAAAATACCATTTTCGTCCTTTATCTGTGTTCTTGTTTCATCAGTTATCTCTTTCCTTACTTATAACTGATTTTTTCCTCTTTATTATTTTACTATTCCTCCCCAAACAGAGATGCTTATGAGTTCCCTAAACTAAAAATGATTTAACTTTTCCTAGACTCTGGCCCTTCCCATCTATTATCTGTTCTCTTACCACCATACTTGAAAAAGTGGTTTACTCTCATTGTGCTCTTTACTTCTTCTGTGTTATTCACTCTTTAACTTAGTAGTTCTCTATTGAAGATACAGTCAGCTTTCTGTATCTGGCTTTCTCTGTTCTCATCTGCGGATTCGGCCAACTGCGGATCAAAAGACCTACAATGGTTGCGTCTGTACTGAACCTGTAGAGACTTTTTTTTCTTGTCATTATTCCCTAAATGAAACAATATAACACCTATTTACATAGCATTTGCATTATATTACGTATTAGAAGTAATCTAGAGTTGATTTAAAGTATGTGGGGGATGTGCATAGCTTATATGCAAATAGTATGCCATTTTATATAAGGGACTTGAGCAGCCGCAGATTTTGGTATCCACAGGGGTTCTGGAACCAATCCCCTGTGGATACCGAGGGATGACTATGTAATTGGAATCACCTGTGAGGCTAAACTCAAATAAGAAGCTGCCTAGGCCCTTTTTAAGACCTTCTCAATTAGGGTTTCCCAAATTTCTCTGATAAATATCTCCCAAAATGCTTCTTAAATATGCAGGTTACCAGACTTCTCCCCTGGAAATTTTGATTCAGGAGATCTGAAATTGATTCAGGAATTTGTGTTTTTAGCAAGAGCTTCAGTACTTGACTAAATAAAAATCTCAGAGCGTGGGACCTGGGCTTCTGTTTTTTGAGAGCTTCACAGGAAATTGTGACAATTCATTATTGGGCAGTCATCGTCATCTAACTTCCACTTACATCATAGTTTGGAAACTGCTCTAAGATTTACCAGTGACATAATTTTCAAATAAAAATTTTAACATTTTATTTATTATTTTAAACATACGAAAGTAAAGGGGTACTATAATAAATGCCTCAAGTACCTTCACTCAGCTTTAATAATGATCAACTCTAGTGACCTTTTTCAGTCCTTTTCTCCTGTTACTTGTTTGCATTATTTGACACTGTTGGTCTATCACTTATTCTTGAAACTTTGTTTTGCCAGATAATACTTTACTATCCTGGCTTTCCTCCTGCATTGAGTGTTCCTTTTCTAACTTGTGCCCCCATGTATAGACATTTTTATAGGGTTTTTCTTCTCAGCACTTTTTTTCTACTTCCTCCCCCAGCCCAGCCCCACCCCTGGGCTATCCCATTTAAAGACCTTGGCTTCACTATTCACTCCGTATAAGCAGTTCACAGATTTGAATGTCTTACTTTGAACTCTCTTCTCTGTTGAGTTACAAATTTGTAGCTGCCTATTATTAGACATTTAGACATCTGAAATTCTACTTACATATAGCATATACCTGCTGCTTCCCCCTTCCCCATCCTCCTTTACCTATTCTGTTAATGGTGTCACTGCATCTTTTACACTTCCGTTTCCTGGGCTATTAGAGTTGCCCCCTCACTAGCATTTCTTCTCTTGATACTCCTGTTCATCCTGCACATTCCTACCTGGTTTATCTTAAAGTGTAGCATGAACCTTACACTTTCCTGCTTAATAACCTTAATTTCCTCTTCTTTTCTTACTCTAATATAGCCTTCTGATATGGTCCAGTTTTTGAGACTTAATGCAGATACATAATTCAAGTATTTAAATACATTGAAATATTAAAAGAAAATTGTATCTGTGAATGTTTAGTGAAGTAAAGATTTATCTACTTTTTTAAAGTAAAAGTAAGGCATGATATCTTATAGGTACCTGATTTTCATTTGAGTTTTAAAAAGTACTTGATTTTCATTTGAGTTTTTTAAAGAGATCCTGCAACAGAAGTACATTGAATACTAGTGTAATTAAGTAGAACAGAAATCTTTGCTTCATCTGCTTTGTTTCTACCAAAACCCACGTATTTGCCTTTGTCATATATATATATATATATATATGACTTTAGAAGTTCAGTTAAGAAAATATGGCCTTTAAGCATCCCAGTTTATGGAATATAAGGTAATGATTTAAGTAATTTATATATTTACATTGGTATATGAATAGGTACTCAACAAACATTTAATAGATTTGTCATAAGTTAAAAAGCTTCAGATAGTATTTACTTTTAATGATATAGCAAATACAAATTTCACGGATACAAAAATGAATGTGCTGATTTTCAGAGCTGTTTCTTCTTATGTTTTTAGGGTGAGAATCCTTTTGAAAATCAAGATCATTCTCAAGATCAGCAAATAGAAGGAGATGAGGAGGAGGAAGAAAAGATTGATGAAACTATTGAAGAAGAGGAAGAGGAAGAAGAGGAAGAAGAAGAGGAAGTGGGGGAAGTAGAAGAAGTGGAGGAAGTAGAGGAAGTGGGAGAAGGTGGAGGAGTAGAGGAAGGGGCGGACATAGAGGGAGTGGGGGAACTGGAGGCACTGGGCGAAGAAGAGGGCGTGGGGGAAGGAGAGGGAGTGGGGGAAGGAGAGGGCGTGGGGGAAGGAGAGGAAGGAGAGGAAGAAGAAGCAAAGGAGGAGCCTGTCGGCTTCCCTGTTGACCAACCTGAAGAAAATTAAATATAAGGTATTAGTCAGATTTAAAAGAAGCTTTAAATTTTTGTCCTAATGTGGAAAAGGGTAAGAATTTTGATAGTTTAACGTATGAGAGTTAACACCCATATTGCATGCATTCCACACATTAAAATTTGTTTTATATAATTTCTAAATGTTTGGCATTTGTTTAGTAAAATGAGGGTAAGACTATTTTAGTTTAGTTTTTATAGCTACCAAACTTAGATTCGATAAATTGTTTGTATAATTTTTAAGCTTAATTTTTATTACTTTATTGGTGTTAAGGATAACAGATGTGTATTGTTAGTATATCTATTCTAATTGTTTGAACTAAATGCTGCTCTTGGAAGTATATATTCAAGTGTGCATTAATGTTTTGAATACTTACCCTAGAAGAGATAAATTGGGCAAGTATTTTGTGCTCTGACTGTGTATTTTTTTACTGCATTGGACACTAAATAGTAATTTGCGTTAAGACACGCTTAAAGGCTTTTTGTGACCATGTTTCCTTTTGTAGCAATAAAATGTTTTTAGAAAAACTCTCTCCCTGGATTAGCAATTTTAAATGAAGCAGAGTTCATTAATTAAATGAGTATTTAAAATCAGGACTTGCCTTATAGTATGAGTTCGGCTCAAAAGTATTTCAGGATGATTGAGAAGACTTGAATTAAAGAAAAAATTTACCTCAATCATCTTATTTTTAAAAAGTATGACTAAAATATTTTTTTTAACATATTTCAAATAGAGATAAGTCTGTAACTGACCTGTTTATACTTGTTTTAATTCATTCCTTTTTTTCTGTGGCTGTGTCAAATGTTGAAATCTTTAAAATACATTTGAATACAAATAATTTTTCATAGTTGTGTTAGTTATTTTGCATGTCTGTTTTTGGCTGAAGACCCAAGAAGCAAACTATCACTTTTTTAAAAAAGAATTATTTCTCCCTTTAATATTTCTCTCCTTTTTTTGCTTTTTATAGCTCATATGCTTACATACTCAAAAAGAGAAGATGAGATTGATTAGATGATCTCTTTTCAAATGACCATCTATGTTACTGAAAAGCAGTGCTCTTATTTCTTTGAATCTTTACTCTGGCTTCTTTTGAGAAGGGGACTCTTTCAGTGAAATTAGCTTCTCAAAATTCTGACACATTGAATAGATGAATATATGGGTATATTAAGTAATTTTAAGGCCTTAAGTGGGCGAATGTATGGCATTTGTAGAATTTCACAGATAGTTTCTCTTTTTTGCATACAACAAAGCTTTTAAAAATAGTTATTTTTTTGGCCAATATGGGTTTATTGTTGTGGGCTAGATTTGCTTATCTTTTTTTTTTTTTTTAATTTTTTTTTTTTTTTTTATTTTTGTGAGGAAGATCAGCCCTGAACTAACATCCATGCCAATCCTCTTCTTTTTGCTGAGGAAGACTGGCTCTGAGCTAACGTCTATTGCCAATCCTCCTCCTTTTTTTCCCCAAGGCCCCAGTAGATAGTTGCATGTCATAGTTGCACATCTTTCTAGTTGCTGTATGTGGGACGCCGCCTCAGCATGGCCAGAGAAGCAGTGCGTTGGTGCACGCCTGGGATCCGAACCCTGGGCCGCCAGCAGCGGAGCGGGTGCACTTAACCACTAAGCCATGGGGCCGGCCCTAGATTTGCTTATCTTTAAGCTGGGAAAATCCAGTAGGCATTTATATCCACTTGTAGGGTTTTGGAGCCAAATAATAGAAGGTCACTTGAAGACTGGAGAAATTTGGATCCTATCTGGGAGTCTGTATTTACTTAAACAGGCTTCAGAAAACCTTTTTGCTTAGGAGTTCAAATTTTAAGGATAACAGGACTTGATCAACCCTCTTGTTTCTTCTTTATTTTAAAATATTTGTGGAAGAGCTAAGTTAAAAGGAGAATAGATCCCTTTGAGTTAGAATTAGTGGATTCTTTTGGCACTAAGTAGGGTGTTTTTTTTTAAAAAAAGAGTGTCCCTAGTAATTTGATTAAGATGTGAAACTTGGAAAGAATCCTGTATAACCAGAGTCTGTATAACAACTTCTAAGTAAATTTTTTAGAATGAGAGATAAGAAAGAACATCTAAAATCATATGCCGCATAATAACGTTTCAGTCAACGTTGGACTACGTATACGGCATAGATGATGGTGGTCCCATAAGATTAGTACCATAAGCCTAGGTGTTTAGTAGGCTATACCATCTAGGTGTGTGTAAGTACACTCTGATGTTCACACGAGGACAAAATTGCCTAAGGATGCATATCTCAGAACGTATCCCTGTCATTAAGCAATGCATGACTGTAGTAATTTTTTTATTTTGCTGAGGAAGACTGGCCCTGAGCTAACATCTGTTGCCAACCTTCCTCTTTTTTTTGTTTGAGGAAGATTAGCCCTGAGCTAACATCTGTGCCAATCTTCCTCATTTTGTATATGGGTGACCACCACAGCATGGCTGACGAGTGGTATAGGTCCGCACCCGGGATCTGAACCCGAGAACTTGGGCCACCGAAGCAGAGTGAGCTGAATTTAAACCACTACACCATGGGGTCAGGCCTAGTAATTTTTGTGGGAAACATGTAAAAACCTTTATTCAGACTAGATTATTTGCAAGGTAGTAACAAAGTGTATTTTGTTATTGTGCTTAAGTCAGAAACTCAAATTTATGTATATCTCATTGGTTAATTTGTAGATAGACAGTTTAGTTTGCAGGCAGATTAAATTTTGTGATCCTTAGTGTTTATGTTTTCAATACTTTTGTGATAAGGATTTATGTAATATCTTTAATAACTTTTCAATTTCTGTTATCCAAGTATTATTTGTTTTCTTTATTAAAAAGCTAAACATGTAGTTCTAGTAACCAAAGAAATTTATTTACAACCTACACAGTTGTTTAAGCCAGATGCCTAGGGACTGTCCTAAATTCTGCCCTTTTTATCACTCCCTATCTCCAATCTATCAGAAAGTCGGTGTTTTCCACTTCCAAAATTTATCTGCCCACTCTTCCACCTTGCTGCTACCAACCCCAGTTCAAGCCACCATCATCTCTTTCCTGGACTGTTGAAGTAGCTTATTAACTAATCTTGCTTCCACTCTTATACCCTGCTAGAATCAGTTTTCCACACAGAAGTACAGTCTTTTAAAAATGTAATTCAGATAATGCTTGTCTCCTGGTTCTTTTCGTACCTGTACAATCCAAACTCCTTTTCTTGGCAGTCAGACTTGGCCTATCTTTCCATCTTTATATTAGGCCATTCTTCTCACCAGCCATGATGGCCTTCAGTTAGTGTTTTTTCATTTTGGTGAGGAAGATTGTCCCTGAGCTAACATCTGTGCCAATCTTCTGCTATTTTGTATGTGGCATGCCACCACAGTATGGCTTGACTAGTGGTGTGTAGGTCCATGCCCAGATCCGAACCCATGAACCCTGGGCTGCCGAAGCAGAGCACACAAACTCAACCACTACACCACTGGGTCAGCCCCTCTGTTAGTTTTTTAATGGAGCTCTTTCTTATCTTTAGACCTTTGCACTTTCTGTAACCCATACCTGTCAGCTTTTCTTGGCAGATTCTTCATCCTTCAGGTCACCTTAAATGTTAGAAGAGGTTTTCTCAGGAAATGAAAGGGCAATAGTTCTTAAGTTTTTGTGAAAGTGAGGATTTGGGACTGCCTGTACCCCAGATCTAGATCATATTCTTTGAAGATGATGTGGGTGGTTTTTTTTTTTTTTTTTTTTTGGTGAGGAAGATTGGCCATGAGCTAATATCCATTGTCAGTCTTCTTTTTGCTGAAGATTGGCCCTGAGCTAACATCTGTGTCCATTTTCCTCTATTTTGTATATGGGACACTGCCACAGCACGGCTTGATGAGTGGTGCGTAAGTCTCCGCCTGGGATCTGAACCCGAGAACCCCGGGCCACTGAAGTGGAGTGCGTGAACTTAACCACTATGCTACTGGGCTGGCCCATGAAGATGATGTATTTTTAATAAGTATCCCGGGTGATTCTGATGATAGTGGTCAAGATTGCATTTTAAGAACATTTATAGTGCCCTCAAACAAATTTCTAATGCCTACAACTCCCATATCAAAACAGGAGCTTCTTCCCGTTAGTACACAGGCATAGGTTTGGGGAATTCTCCGTAATATTTTACAAAAGCATGGGAATGACCTGTAACAGACCTCTGGGAGTCAGAAAACTGGACTTCGTCCTTGTTTTTGTTTTTTCCCCTATTAGATTATTTAATTCTTACAAGCATATCGTGAAGTTATGATAATGGGAATGGTTATAATTTCCCATATAACTGGCTCTCTCTTGTATCGTTCCACTACTTGAAATCCTTCATTGGCTTTCAGTACCAGGTGGTATAATATCCATATCCTTTTAGTGTGGCATCCCTGGCTCTATGGGTTTTGTTCCTTGCCTGCTTCTCTAGCTTTATCTCAGTCTTAACATATTTATATTAACTGCCTATCCCCATAAACATTTGAATTTATGATTCTGCTTCAGCAGACAGAGTGGTTCCTAGAGTTGCCAAGATTTGACTATAACCTGACTATATTATAACATCTCGATATTATATTTATATTTTATAATACATTTTATATATCTATTATATATTTATATTTTATATCTATTTTATTTTTTATAATTTACATTTTATATCTATTATATTTTATAATAGTATAATATTATATAGTGTAATATCTAAAAAACCTTGAATGCTTTCTAAGAATGAGATGAAAATAACTGAAAGTATATAGAGAAATGTGTATACCAAAAGTCATAGATATATAGAAAGAAGAACTACAAAACAAATGTTGGTAATGCATGTTAAAATGTATTTGAGAATTCCATTTTTATTGGCAAGATTGTTCTTATTTTAGAGGTAGATAGTATCAGGTTATCTTACTGTTATCAGACACATTATTTCACATTTGCTTCGCCTACCAAATCGCCCTTATTTTGAATACAAACAAACTTTTAAATGTATTTGTAAAATATACATAGCATGAAATTTACCACTTTAACCCTTTTTGAGTGTACAATTCAGAGGCATTAATGACAAGCAAGCTTTAAATTACAGTTTGACATTCATTGTAGTTCTGTTGATGCACAGAAAATGGAGTAGTCATGCTGGCAGAAGTGTTTTTCAGTCCATGTAACAGGTATAGTTCATATTATAAATTAACAATTTGACGTTATTTGATAGTTATAGCCCCCACCCTGATAGCTGGATCTCTATTTGATGTGCAAACAAAATCAGAGCCTGCAAGGCTGGAGGGCAGATTCTTAGCAGTGGTAAATTCAGTCAGCACTGCCACCATCTGAGGCCTCCTCAGAAACAATCATACTAGTCTCTTCCCACTGTTCTCTTCTCCTTCTCCTCGTTTTTTGTTAAAATTTTTTTTTTCAGTTATATATTAGGGGTAGGGGTGAGGTGGTATTGATGGTGACAAGAGATGGCCTCCCTCGTGACTGGGAGTGTGGAAGGGAACTACAAGCAGCTTAGTTGTTAGATGAATGTAAAGTATGAATTTGGAGAGAGTTCCAGATCAAAATGGCGTACTGGATTCAAGTCATTATCTTCTAAAGTTCTCTTAAA